CGATATTTTTCCTCACACCTTAATTAAAACTCAGAATATCCTACTCAAAAGGATTTTTATAGGTTAATTTTTCTTTTCTTGTTCATGAATTTTATTGAATACCTTTTTTTTTCTTTTGCTGGAAAACGCATTAACAAAAAGAGTAATGAAGCTCTATAATTAAAACTTCGTTCTTGTGTTAATGACTTGGAAAGGTTTTCACTTTCTTTATCTTAAAGGTACAGAATGATTGTGCATAGTTTGAGTGGAAAAAAAAACAAACTTATCCATACATATTTTTAAGGTGCAATTAACTTTAGCTTAAGAAAATATTACCTTGACAGCTTTTTTTAAAGCAAATATTTTTCCTATTGCGAGATAAAGAATAAAGTAAGAAAACGTCAAGAACGAAAAACAAAAGTAAAAGGTGTCGTTAAGTTTCCGTTTATTTTTTTCATTTTAAATAGAATAATAAATATCCGTTAAGAAAACCAAAGAGTATCTAAAAGGGCGCTCAAAAGAAGTATTTTATTTTTATCCTTGTTTGATAATTGATTTATATATGTTTCATCTTAAAATTAAAAATAATTATTAATCATCAATAACTATTAAAATTATTTTTTTACATGGAATTAACTTAGGACATATAAAATCTATAACTGCTTGCAAAATATCCTAGATTTGCTCTAAAAGTACGTGAGATAAAGTGAAAACGCAAAAAAAAATTAACAATAAGGGATTAAAACTTTGAATCGTTCTCCTGCATTAACTATTCCGACCATATTTTCCAGACTACGGTTTTTTCCCTCATTTTGAAGGTCAAAAAACCTAATTCGAAGAAAAAAGTTATGATTTTTTCAGGAAAAGCACGTTTTTCTGTCGTATTTCACAACTTAAAATATCATCTCTGCACTAGTTAATTAGCATTTTTGAAGTCACCCAATTAAATCATTACGAATGCTGACCTAAAAATATATCTAATTCCAACCTCTACAGTAAAACCAAACAAGTACCAATTGAAAAGTTAAGTTAATGGAATAAATGGTTCTCAGGCCGTACGTAATGTAAATACTTGAAATAATAAATTATAAACATTAATCTTAACTACTAATTCCTAACTATTTGATTGAAATTTAAGTCCAGTTTATTAAGCGCTAATGAAGCGGAAGGTTTGAAGTTATACAATAATTATATCAATAATAATAAGATAAAATATTGAATAAGCAAGTAAAGTTATTTCAAAATATTTTCCGAAATCAATTCTTTGCTTTTACCATTTTAATAAAGTCCTCGAACGGCCTTGTTATATATTTGCCGAAAGTAATTATTTCCTAATATACCCTTTAATAAAGTCTTAGCGTATTTTTTCTTAGCTATTTTTGAATTACACGAGAAAGAATGCTAATATTAATGTCTCAAATTTTAAAAAAATTCTTCTTTTTATGAGTTGCAGGAATTTTACGAATTAATTAGGGGGAAAATGGAATGTATAAATTAAGATTGATTGAAATATCAGATTTTTATCGGAATTGATTTAGTTACTGCCACTAAATGAGGAATATAACAATATTTTTTAAATATAATTAAATTAAAATTGTGAATGAATCATATTTTAAATATATCACCAATAAATAAAGTAATATTCATTTATGTAATATTTCACAGAATTGTGCGCGTTTAATAAAATTATAGTTTTAGGAACTGCATGCTTCTTACAAATTTATTAAGAAAAATGAAAAGTATACTTTAATATTAATTGAAGTAATTGATTTTAAACTGGATAAATGTATTTATATGCAGCATATAAATATATTTTTCAATGCTTCCGAAATAAGAGGAAATTTTAATCATATTTTCAATCTACATATATACATAGAGGAGTATGCACTTTTGTACGATGACTTCATATGCTGGCAAATTATTTTTAGTAATTCCACGCAGTAATATTGTAAGTATAAAAAAACCATAGTTTTTATTATATTAATTATTTTTTTACATATTTATCGAAACTTTCTATATTAATTTATTCAATTATGAATATATGCAATTTTGATTAAGTTCTCTAACAATTAAAATATCACTTCGTTTCTTTTTATGGAAATGAAAGGCGATATTCTTATAGTTAATCAATATTTTATAAAATCTTATATTGTTCATTCAAGTCCAATACTACTTTTTGTCATCTTTCTGGCAGTAGCATGATTCTATGCGTTAAAATTTTTGTTTGTTGCTAGTAAAAAACTGATCCAGGTGCCACCTTATTTAGAGTAAAGGCTTTATCGTCCAAAGAAACTCGTAGAAATCGGAGAATTATTGTAGATAACCCATTTTTTCTCTTCTTGGTGAGGATGCAATTGAAGTTTGAAAACCAAATCACAGATGACACAAATTTCTTTCTGAAAGAACATAAAGAACCCATATGTCGAGCTTTGAGACTAACTTTCTAGGCTTTTCTAAAGATCATAAACGGTAGTATTTGATAAATTTAGTCTCTCAACAATCTCACGAATTGTTATTCTCTGGTTTGCATCAATTAATGCCTTTATTGTGTCTTCATCTGCTTAAACTGACAAGGTGCATCTTCGAGCACTTTAATCGAAATTATGCGAATAAGTTTTGTCACTGGCGTACTGCTAATACATCTTCTCCATAAATGTCGGATAATTTTTTCTTGCTTGGACATTATTTTTATCTTTTCGATAGTAAAAAAGAAAAATATGACGGAAATTCTGTTTTTCATTTTCCATATTTGAAATTGCACCAATCAAAAACTACAGCATAGAATCAATCGAATATTTTCGCGAGCAAGCGCTCCCATATCAGCTGTCAAAATATATAATGATAATGCGAATGAAGTGTAAGGTTGGTTTTGAAAAAACATAATTAATTACTCTGTTGGGAAAAAACAGAATTACTTACTGAGCAACACAATAGCATTTAAGCAGATAAAATAAAGAAAAAAACTTGCTTCAATAAATCAGATCTCGTTCAATTAGAAACTTGTCGGAAATCAAATATCGATAAGTTTCGAAATTCACAGCTACAGTCTAGTTAACAATTTGTAAATGTGTTTCAAACTAAGTATTCAAAAGTATAAAAAAATAGAAATATAAGGATTGAAAATATGCAATAGAGTAAAAGTTAAAAGAAAATTAATAAAAATTTAGCATCATAAATAAAAGAACTCAAATACCATTTATCACACGAATTGGAAAAATTGTAGAAATATTAATAATGATCAAATCTTTATTTTTTACAAATCTCACACGCTTTTATATTATAGTTTTAATTTTAAAGAAAATATTATGAGTATAATAATTGTCTGGTTATTACTTGAATATGCATTATTCTTAACTACATTACGAGTGGAAGAAAAATAGGAGTTTGATCGCTATATTTTTGCGTTATAATCTATTCTAATATCTAAAACACTAATGCCTACGAATGGAGAATTGAACTAAAGACCGGAAACAATTTGCAAGCTTTGAGCCGGCTGAGATCTTTCTCTATTTAAAAGTTCGTTAACTAGAATTTTTAAAAGTAAATTTAACTTTTTATTTAATTCATCATCTCAAATAATTTTTTTTAGTTTTAATTTCTTGAGAACTAATTGACTGAGTCATTTCGAATTTTTAAATTTTCTCATTTAAATTTACTCAGATAAGAAGAGTGTAAGAATTTTCATGCCTTCAAGTTCAGATCTTTTAGATTATTATTAGAATGAATAATGAAAAAAAAAACTAATTGTAAACAATTACTTCTTGAAAAGAATTATCTTTGAACAAAGAAGTTTTATGACCATATGTAAAAATTTTAGATCACTTCTTTAGCTCAAAAGGTATGAGAAAGTATACATAAAGAGAAATTCACCCACACTGTAAAATATTATTAATAATGTTATACCAAGCGTAATGCCCCTTAAAGATAGAATAATAATATTCAACAAATTTAATTTTTTTTTTTTTGCTTTTATCGTAACCCTGTTTTTGCGTGTTTTTTTCATACTAGCTTTGCCCAGGCTCTAAACAACAACATTTTGTTTTTGTTGAAAATTTAGTTTTCAGGCCAACCTTCACTTTTAAAGTGTCACAGAAAGTATATAAAGGCCTGAGCAAAAATCTTGTTTCAGTAATGGGCATAAAATCTGAAATAAACCTTGAGACAAGGATTTTTTCCTAAGTTAGAGAGCAATTTCTATTCTTAACTTGCGAATGAGGATTCATTCACGATATCAGAAAATTTTTCTATCTTTGGTTTGAAAAGGCAAATTTAATTTCGTTACAAAAGGGTTGTTTATATAAGCTTATTGCGAATCTCATAGTGCATATACTAGCTTAGTTAAATGGGACATTGTCTTAAGCTTGCATTGTTTATGTGCTAATCAGTCGAAAATCTCATTCGGCTTTGAGATAAAAGTTGTTGCTGGCATTTTAATCACTCTTACACTGATCAACATTATAGGTTCCAAACTTTAAACCACTCTTTTGCCCGAACTATTGGAACCATGTTTTCCAGATTGCGGTTATCCTCATATTTTTAATGTCCAGCATCTGAATCCGTCAAAACAAATATGTTCCTTCAGAGAAGGTTTGTTTATAAGTCTCATTATTTGTAACTTAAAATATCTGTTACTTAATATACTTAACTTAGTATCCTTAGTATAATATTAACTTAGTATACTTAAGGTTAGACCTTCTAACAATTACAATTGATAACTGAAAAATCCAATTCTTAGATCAAAAGTAACTCAGGGGGCGTTTTTCATTGCAAGATCCTATCACTTCATCAGGTACCATATGTGAAAGGATATTTCAACGTAAAATATAGATAATGATATCCCTTAAATTATTAAATCCAGTTTTAAAGGAATAATTTTATAATTATTTTAAATATTTTTAAATTTAAGGAAAAATTTATTTTATTTATTGCTTTTCCTTGACTTCAATGTATCGTAAATCTATTTCTATTAATCTAAAACACTAATTTGTTTTAAATTTTTGCTTAGTTATACCAAACAACAGGAATTGAACAATACTTGCATATGCTGAGGAACTTCTGATGTGTAGAGGTAAATTCGGGCCACACTACTCGCTCGTATCTTCCTCGGGTGATGTCAATTATAAGATCTTCCAGCTGAGTACCAATATTTGGATCGCTAGTAACAGAAGAGAAGAATTATATAGGTTTTTTTTTCCAATGTAATTGTTTATTCCATAAAAACGCCATTTATTTCTAAATCGAAAAATATAATCTTTATTTGCCTCTAATTAATAAAATTAAATAATATTTGAAAAGCCGATTTTAGTTACAATATTAATATACAGCTAGCTGAATATCGTTCTTCGTTCCGGGTGAAAAAAATTAAAAATTTTAATTTGATGACGTAGTACGCCTATGCTGAGTTCGTTACAATAGGATACTTGCAAGTGACGTAGTGCGGGTATCTCAATCCTTATTGGTTTTGAAACTCGGCATTTGCTTACGTTAGCAATTGTTCTTTCTATTCTATTACGAGTAAGTCAAGCTCGTAAAGTATCTATTCTCTTAAGTGACACATTCCTTAAGTTCTTACAAAAAGATTCTCTCAAAAAGATTTCGATTCATTCCCTATATATTTCTTACTTAACACAAAGCCTGACACAAAGTCATGTAGAACATAAACTAATCACGCATCGAAGTTGCCAGATGCACAAAACACAAATATATCACGGTTACAATAAAATACATACACAAATAATAAATCTAAGTTAAGTAAAATATGTAGACATGAAAGAGTTATATTTCAACAAATTCAATGTACGATGCAGCGTTGTATTTAATTAACTTCACGCTGATTATCATTCTAACTTATGTGGAGCAATTGAGCTAACTTGAACACGCCTTTTTGGTTATGAACGTTCATCTAGAGCTGACGTCCCACTTGTGGGTATCTCTGATTTTCTTTTTGAAGTGTAAGTACGCAATTACAGACAATTAGATTTTTTTATTTCTTTTTATTTGTCAAGTAGTTGCAGTCATAAATTAATGAATTCTTTGAATTTTACGGAAATTTCCACGATTACCCTGAGATAAAACATACGTAAGGAAACAGTTTCGTCAAATGTTTAATAGCTCACATTCATTAAAAACTGAATATCATAAATAAAAAAAAATTAAATCGAAACCATCAAAATAACCAAATAATACTGATGATAGCCGATTGTCAGAAATAAGAGTTGCACTTCAGATAGTGAACATCATGACCCCAATTAATAAATCCTTACCCAAATTTAGCAAAACTGGTCCAATGCATCATAGTCACTTCTGATAAGGCCACTTCGTCTGCTGTATAGTTATTTGTGAAATGGGCAAGATTTGTTACTAATGGTGCTCCAAAAACATAGGATAAGTCTTCACCTGAGAGACAACCCAATCTTTGCAAGTAATCCCCTTCCTCAGTCTGATGTGTGAAAACATAAAAGTATGTCTTTTTGGGCATGAAGAAAACTGGATTGTGAAGAGGGGTGTTGGTGGGAAAATTAGGGTTGCTATGCAACATTCCAGTCGTGATAACGGGGGAGAGAACTGTAGCATCACTCAAGGCTTCCACTGTCCCCCTAAAGATGTCTGTAGTATGAAGGTGAGGCACAGACCAGTCCATATACTCGTTGACGATTGTTAGAAAAATCTGCAAATTATAAAAGTGCATGCGTATAAGGAATGGAAATGAAAAAAAAGAAAGAAAAGTTTCTACTAAAATACTGATATTTCAAAATTTACACCATTCTTAAAAACTGCAGACATGACTTTTATTAATGCTTGATTGACATTTTCAAGATTCTTAAATTTAAATAGGGTAGATTAAGACAAGGTAAAATTAGATACAATGACAATTTTTGAAAGATGTGTTACAAATTTTGTAGCTTCTACATTAAAATAAAAACACTATTATTAATTTTAATAAGTAGAGTAAAGCTATTTTTTATCTAAAGTTACACGTGTTTCAATATGAAACACTTGAGATTTCTTTCGAACTATGAAACAGAATTTTCGAAATGCATGAATCACATTTGTCATACTAATAAATTAGCAATGCAATACTGTTTTTATCAACATCAACTGAGGATTGAAGAACCTCCTGCTTCTTACTTCCGATTAATAATTGCAGAATTTTCTCGATAAACATACATTAGAAAAATAAACAAAGAATAATTAAAATCATTAAACAAAATTTTATAAATGTGTGAGTCATATTTATCAGTCTAATAAATTAGCAATGTAATACTGTTCTTATTAACATCAACTGAAGATCGAAGAACCTCCTGCTTCTTACTTCTGAATACTATTTGCAGCCTTTTCTCATGGTAAAAAATTAGAAAGCATAAACGAAGAATAATTAAGAAAATTAAAGAAAAGTTTATAAATATGGTGTCACATTTCTCACACTAATTAATTAGCAATGGGATATTGTTTTCATTAACATTAACTGAGGATTGAAGAGCCTCTTATTTTATTGCATCCGATTAACATTTTCTCGGTGAACATAAATTAGAAAAATAAATATGTTAGAAAAAAATACGTATAATTAGCATGGTGATTTTTTTCATTAACTTACATATTACTCTTCAAAATTCTAACTTCATGTGGCAAGCGTATGAACATTCTTTATATAGATTTATTTTGATTTCAATACATCACTATTTAAGCCTCTGTTGCTTATATAACTATTTTTTACGAAATCAATCACTTTTTAAAAATTAATATTTGCTTTGCGAAAAAGAAAAATGAAAACAGTCAACAGCATCTAGCAGATTTCCAAGACATCTGCAAGAAGGCAACCTAATTGGATTTCTAAATTTTTAAATAAATAAAGAGAACTAAAGAATGCTAATGTATTGAATTTCAATGACAAGATTGGAAAGATTGAGTGAGCATTTCATATTACTTCACAGGAAAGCACCCATTACCAGAACTTAATGAAAATCGATAACGAAGCCATTATCAAGTATTTATAATATAATAATTTATTTAAATTATCTTTGAATTGTCATCGAAAAGGACTAAAAAAGATTTATTACTGTTTTAGTGAATTTGATTTTTAAGAAATATATTAAAATAAGGAGATCAAAAAAAGCTTCGAAAAATTGTTTAATGATATTTTTTTCATTGTGATGTTTGAAAACTTTTAAGGCGATTTTTATTTTCATTAAAAATATTATAAGATAATCATAGTTTATACTTAGTTACAAGTTAGTAAAATATAAATAATCAACAAATGTGAAGAAAAATTAACAAAATTTACAGAAATTACTAACTATTTTCGTATTATAATATATATTTATTTTAAAAAATTTCTTACTGCTCTTAAAATAATTTTCAATGTATAAATTACTAAAATGAGAAAATATAAATTAAAAGTTCAATAACTTATTGTAATATATATTCATGCTAAAAAATCTGTATACCTCTTTAAATTATTTTCAAACAATAAATTAGTAAATTAAGGAAACAAAAAATTAAAAAAAAATATTAAATCAAAAATTAAATTATATTTTAAAAGTTCTTAGGATTGTTGCTTTTTTCAAATAATCGAGACGGCCAAGCTTATAACTGCCATATAAATGACATTTTGTTGCCTAAATGCCAATTATTTCTATAAAATGAATATATTTAAAAACAGCAATTTAATAAAAAACATAGTATGATATATAGTATATTTATCATTAATGGATTTGCTTATAATTCAATACATACATGAAAGCATACAAAGATTTAAGTCTAAGTTTATGTAGCAATATAATCGTACGAAATAACATGTCATAGGCATTTGAGAAATTGCATTGAATTTTAAAAATTTAATGTGCTTCATTTGATAAAATATACGATTCTAAACTTAGCTTTGTCGTAAATTCCTTGGTTTCGGTTTGGTTGTTAACGTAACTTTCATTTAAACATAAAAGTCTATTACCGACCGTATGGAATTCATCCTCAACAATCATTCAAAAGCTATACTTTTCAAACTACACTAGCACAATATAGTTCGGGAACAGATCACGATAGAAATTACAAGGCCTTCGCATCATACACCCCAACCACCCAACTATGCACAGGCAGTTTTAGATTTAAAACCAACGAGGATATTACAGTTCATTCCGAGCCATTTAAATACGATCAAAGAAAATGTGCAATGTGATTAAACACCCAACTTTTAGCACGAGGAATTAAAAATCGGCCCAAACACAGACTGTACCCTCAATATCGACTAGACGACTTACCGTATAACGTAAGTTTACGAAAGAGTTAAAAAATTTCTGTTATTTTTTTTTTAAATCTGGGAATACGGTTGTATGCATGTACTGGCAAAAAAGGAAAAAATTTCATTAGCATTTTCATTTATTTGCCAGCTTTTTGTTTCAAAAAAACTATGTTTGAAATTTGCATGCCTGGCAACAAAATAATAAATGAAAAAATTTTTTCAAAACCATCTTCCTTACCTGTTGCAAGTGATGCGTAAATAAATTCCTGACCATTGTCCGTATTATTCTATCCCTTCTGTGAGTATTTATTCCCTTTATTTCCTCGACAGCTGAGAACATGAAAAAAGACTCCACTTTCGTCGTTCCAAGCATCAAATCATGTCTGAGAAATAGGTCTGGTTTGGTTTCCATCAAATACACGGGATCACGTGGGAGTACTATTCCATCTACAGTGGGTCCGAAAGCACTTAAGTGGTCAGGAGCTGGAATGTCCACTGACATTATTTCTTCTAACTGTCTTTTGCGGAGGCATTCAATGAGGGTCATACTGTCCTGCATTGAGCAATTTAATGCCTGCGCCAGTCTTCTCGTGTGATCGACGGCATCTTTCGCTATAGCCCACGGACATAATGCAGACCCACTTTGAAGAATGACACGTTGGAATAATCCTAGTAAATATATTTAGTTTCATGGAATTAAATATAGGGTTACATTTTTTAAAATCATATTGAAATAAATAAGGTATTCTCAGATTCAGAAATTCATAATAAAAAAATTTAGTTTTTTTTTTCATTTGTAATTATACTTCAGTATTTTAAATATTTTATTACTATTAAACAGTGAAAAACTCCACATAAAATTATTGTAACAAAATTATGGTATTTCCACTCAGGATGTCGGTATTTTTAAATTCGTAAAATCCGTTTTTAACGGAACATAATATGGAACAAAAAATCTGAAGTACCGCACTTTTCACAGCAATAATTATTGTAAAATCACTGAATCATCTCTAATTAAATAAATGATACTATAAAAATCATGGTATAATATTTTACGGTGAAATAGAATTTTCAGATGCAGCAGCCAAGGTGCCGGTGCAATATACAGTAATTTTAATGTAATTGAACAATGATTTTTAAAATGCGTATTATTGTTGTATATTTCTAATGTTATTCAATATTGGTTTATATTTTATTTAAATATTAACCTACTCATTATGTATGTAGCATTTATAGACATTTTTAAAAAAAGCAATTATGAATTTTAGTATGTTAAACTTTTACATGAAAAATCACAGAAAACAAATATATACTTACTGAATATTCTTTTAAAAACTAAGTAAAGTAGTTTTTTTTGTAAGGGAATAATGTTATGTTAAATTGAAGTAAAATAAGTAAGACAGTTCCGAAAACTAAAAAAAAATAGTTACTTACACAAACGTTCTGTTTGAAATAAAATTTTAATATAAGTCACAAATTGTAACTAGTTGCATAAAAATAAGCATAAAAGATGCATTTACTAGCATAAGAATTTCAAAATCCGTTAAATTATAATATGTAATAAACCAAGTTTTGAAACAAAGCTCAAAGTCATGATAATGTTTTGACATATAGTATGGTATGAAAAAGATTTTGAACTTTTAATTTTGTCCTAGACATTTTAACAAAGTCACATTGTTTAAACTAACTAATGAATGCTCTTAACACTTCTAAACCTGTTCCTGAAATGTTTCCAAACATGATCTGCATTATTTTTTAGAAAATTGTACTTTAAACCCATAGAAAGCAGTCAAATATGCCCCATGACTGCAGTTCAGTTGACTGAGTTTAAACTAAAAGTTTTTCAAAATCTCAATATAGAACTCAGCATTTTGATTTTACTTTGAGTGTTTATACATGCTTAAACCGTAAACTATAGGCAGTTGATAGTTACTACCGTTTATTATTATTACATGAATGACTCTGATGAATGACATGATGAACCGGTATATTATTTTGGAATAAAAACAATTTTAGTTTTAATAAAAACATTGCTTTTCAGACCATAAAAGTATTAAACTGAAAATACTACTCATGATTAAAAAAATATTTGCAATTTTTAATGAGTTATTTTTAATAATTTTAGCAAATAAAATGAATTTGTAAAAAGCATTTATTTAAAAATAATTGCCTTAGAAAATAAATGAGTTGTAATTAACTTATAAGCAACAACTATTTTTAACGCATGTAATTGCGAGGAAAGAAAGAATGCAATTTTAACAACATTCTCAACTTTTACAAGAAAAAAGACTTTTATAGTATAAATATTTAAAGAAAGTCAATTTTATATATCATTTATAAATTTATTTTCAATGAGATGCACAATCGGTCTTGCCGATCAGCAGACCTAGTGCGTTCTCCAGAGGTGGTATCCACTCTTTCAGGACCACGACAATGGGTGAGATACCGTTGGTCATGTTAATTTGGACGTCTAGTTTCTGCCACACTAGATGGCAGCACCGAGACTCTAATATAAATTTGTGTTAAAAACATTTCTCAGATAATAACAGTTAAAATGTATCTTTACCTTTGGCCATTGGGGAGAGCATAAGTAAATTTATACAAGCAGCGCCATGACCCTGCCCAAAGACAGTGACGTTGTTAGGATCTCCTCCAAATTCAGCAATGTTATCTTGTATCCAATGTAAAGCTGCTACTTGATCCATTAAACCATAGTTACCTCTTGCAGAACGATCAACTGCAGGCAAGAATCCTACAATTTTAAGAATTATATCACGTAATGTATGCACGTTGTATCTAAAGCACAGATAATTATGATATTTAATTCGCAGACTTTACTTTTTAAATACCAAACTATAATGAAAATAGTTTTTGTTTTTATTTATACATAAACACCACACCGTAATAAAAAGGATTTTTAAATTTTACGAAACTTTCTTTGTTTTTGTCGAAACCGCTTCCTGGAATATGCTGCGAGCAAATATTTCGTCAACGTGACGAAATAACTGTCATCCCTTCTTCGATGAAAAACATTTCGTCAAAATTGAAGAAAGATTTCGTCATGCTATCTTTTCCATAAAAAAAATCTCGAAGCGCTTAATGTATCTAACTTTTCTAATAACCATTTCATCGGGGGTACTGTAAGGTGGAATCAGTGTCTCCCAAATATCGTAAGAGGGACTGACAGAACAGAGAGATAAATGCCACAAATGCCCGAAGCGGGATTCTAACCTGCTATCTTCTTAGTACGAGATCAACGCACTTAACAGCCATACAGGCTGACCGTTTTCTCTCGTCTATATTTTCTATTGTCTAGCCACATTTTAGTTTAGTCATTCTAGTTAAAAATCTCCCACAATTCATTGAAATGAGGTTTCGTGCTGCGGAAACATTTTCGTCATATATTTGAGAGTTCTAGTTTCGTCACAAATCACGTTATTTTGTGACGAAACGATTCTCAAAATTAATGAAATACAGCTAAAAAATTGCTAAATCGTCAAAAGTGTGAATTTTGGTTTTGGTTTGGTTTTTGTTTCTGAGAGTGTATAGAATTTTTCTAACAAATTTTGTTAATAAAAATTGTGAGATCACATTACGAATAAAGCAAAGAATCTATTAATTGTGTATACTGTCGTATAATGTAAAAGAGAAGAAATATTTAATTAAAACCTCTATTTTGAAAAAAAAAATATGTTGGCAATCACTTTTCTTGAATTATATTGAATTTCCTTTAATGAGTTGATGATTTTTCAGATAATTTGTACAGAATATATACAGCTAAAAGATAATTATGTAAAATAGCTGAAATGTTCTAGATACTTCATAACCTTGAAAATATTTAATGCAAACATTTACTTTAGCTCACTGTATTATTATTAGATCGTTGATCTAGAAATACTTTGCATAACGTAGCTTTATTGAAATTAGTTAACGAATGTTTTATAAAACTTTTAATGGAGCCAAAGGGTTTTGATTTCATTAAAATAAAATGATTTCGGTTCAACGTAACAAATTAAAAATTTAAATTCGTGTTTTAATTGCTTTAAATAATTTTTAAGAGATTTTATTATCCTTTTTATTTCATAATTGTTTTTTTTTGTTTTTTTTTTTCATTTTTGAAATTTTTTTTATAAAATTTCAAAATTTTTTTCATAATAACATATTATAATAAAAGTTATAGTAAACCTTACAATCTTATGATAATGCATGCTATAATTCTTACATGCTTTATAATTTTATAACTATAATCTTTTTCTTGTAAAAATTGTAGTTTCGAAAATAAAGAAAAATAAAAAATTTAACAACTTCTTTGATGAAAAATAAAATTTAAAAAAATAAAAAAATTTTTTTTTTCTATTTGTCAATTCAAAATTTACAAAATGAAAAGAAATAATACTTACAAGATTTTATGACTCTAATAATAGTTAAAGTAATATTCTTTTATATTGAAATTAATTTATACATAAAAAATTAAAAAGTCGTTCTGGTGTTTTTTTCCCTATGGGTATTTCAAATCATATGATATACCTTTTTACGATGTCTATAAAAACGCATTAAATAACTGTAACATTGATATATATATATATA